AGTTAACGCCTTGATCAAGGGCTCCCTATAGGGTTGCAGTAAGGAGGACACACAAGCCAATCTATCGCTTCAGCACCATTTGGTTAAGGCCATTCTTTGGTAGATTGCGAAGCATCGAAAGACACGTGGTCCTGTTGCTAAAAATGCAATTTTCGCTCCGCTTCGCTAAGGAAGGGCAACAGGTGACATTGGAGCACTGCTTGGTATTCTTTACAGTTCATACGCAATAATGGAACGGCAACTTCTGAATTTCCGCTGATTGCGAAACCGCCGCAGACCCATCAACGGGCCTCTTCCGAAATTCCTTCTCGAGAGCACGAGCGACTCACGGCCAAGCCTCTCCAGTAGTAGCAAAATCCACCCGGCCCGTCAAGATCGAACTCTTTCCATGAGTTAAGATTACCTGATAGAAGAATTACATAAAAAGTTGCTTGTTTTGAAAATAGGATCTCCGAACACCCGTGTCTTGCCACGTGTCCTATTCCTTATGATTCCATGTTCTGTAATCAACTCCCAATGTGGACTGACTTGTGCTGGGCCTTGAAGTGAGTAGCCTTTCTCAGCGTCTGTCGAGTGGTGTATTCATTTGAGCGGATGAGGGGCTTAGTGGTCATTTTCGAGGCTGGAATAAAAATCTGAGCTCGGACTGTCAATGAAGAATCCGACAGGATGTGGGCTACTCTTTTGTTGTTCTGAGCAGTCAAGGATCGTGGATGGAGCGGAGTGTGTGCTGAGTATAATTATCAGGGTGCCAGATAAATCTTCGAATGCATTAAGGAGAACGACCAAGTTATCGTGCGATTTCTAGATTGGAACGTTCATTATCATGCAGAACCTTGATCTGAGCTTGCTCATCTTCAGGAAGAAGTATGGCGCGAATGACAATATGACGAAGAAAACAGCAAAGTGCGGATTGAAATCGGTGGAAAATTCGGCGCCAAAATCTGATCTTCTTCAAGTGTGCACATACTTTTGAAACAAAGAAAAATTCATTCCAAAATTTTTTTTCCGAAAGTGAGGCGATATTATCTGCTTTGCTTCCATTGATAGGTTATCGACTACGAGAAATCGATTGAGAAGGATTTCATAGCACGAAACCTCATGGTTCCCTTTCAAACGTGAATTTTGAGGGTGTGCACATACTTTTGAAAACGCACTGTTATTGTCGGTTTGGTCAATTTTTTGGCTAGACCTCCCATTTCGCTGGCCTAAAATTTGAAAATCCTGGACATAGATGGAAGAGAACATAGCATCTTGTAGAGCAGACAATTCTCTTTCGAATGGTATATAACGCTATGTAAAAGCATGGAGATTTAGATGAAAATCTTTTGGTTGAAAAAAAGCGACACTATTTATGAGACAACCTAATATGATGGCGATGACTCCTGCTATCACTTGTGCAAGCCAGCCATTTGGTCCAGTATTTATCATTAATAGTGTGTCCTGGCTGGCTTAGCAAGGAAGCGGGAACTAATGCATTTTTTTTGCAGCTAAAAGGGCGTGCCTAGCTGAATAGATGCAGGTCCTTGCTCGTGATAATTCTTGTGTTTGGGATGGAGGATCATATGAGTTAGATACAAGATAATGATCGAAGTAATACTATTCGAAGATTCATGTCGAAGGGAAACGTGCTTCTGCAAACACATCATTATATCATTACTTATTATCATCACTTTGACTGCGCCACGCATCTCCGTGCATCACAGGGACTTGAATGGTATAGAACCAGGGTGCTCTGCTTATGGTTCGTGCTGACCGCAGTGGCACTCCGCCTCGTGCTCCTGCACGAATACATTAACATTCCTTTCCTTTTGCCGACTTTTTTCCTCTTTTTTCCGACCTCTAAGTCCTCTTTACACGACGCAACTGTACTTCGTGCGCACGTTCCGCTGACTTCGCGTGCGGCCCACTCACCAGTACCTGTTGACCTTTTTCCGTTGTCAAACTCTATCTACTTTTTTCCGGTGGCCAAGACTTCTTTGAACCGAGTTGCAGGGTTTAGTGAATAACTCTAGAGCAGCATCAAGCTGGATGAGATGTGAGTCTGATTGCGAAAACTCGTTCGCCTCACTTGCTATCCATCCCCTGAGCTGCCATCTAGTTTTACTTTTTACTTTCTTTTACTTTTTTTTTTAGTTTTTTTTTTTCGAATGTATTTACTCAACGTGCTCATCGTTCCCCTCAGGGCTGTCTTTTAGATGGCGCATTTTACCATGAAGGGAAGGCGCTATGCTATATCAGGTCCCATCACACAGTGCTTCCTCAGCACTCCGTCAATGAAAGTGGCCATACATTACGCTGCTGGCCTTCTGTATTTAGCCCCCCCCCAACTCCTTTGTGAGCGTGGCCCCGGCACGAGCTTAGCATAAACAGTTGGCCATGTCCATCTCAACTACAGACTGAAAACGTGCATGTTTTTTATACATTCATTCTTCTCGCTAGGAAAGGCTTTAATTTTTCATGTGAGTTTTAGAATTGAAACGAGTGAATGCGATAGAATCGATTGATCCGATCTACTAGCCAATATGAATAATTCGAAACCTGCTAGTAGAATCGAATGATCGAATGCTAGCTACAAATATGAAGTTCGAAACTGCTATGTAGAGGGAAGTCGCTAACGGTCAAATAGGTGCAAGGTTCGATTTCCCTCAGTGACAAAATTTTTGCATTTCACGTAGGGGGTTCCGATTTGGTGCCAGATAGCTCAACGCCAAGAGGAGATGTCATATTCGTGAATGGCCAATCGGTAATTTTTGGAAGGGGCTTTTTCGAAATACCATTATTCCATCGTAACATTCACAAACAGCTTGGACCATTCATAACTTGCTTGGCAGGTTCAGTAGCACTTTTTGATTTCCTCTTCTGTAACCAGTCTGTCAGGCTGTATCGATTTACTTAGGTCTCAGTTTTAAGTTCCATGGGAATTCGGAAGTCTTCTCTGGTCAGAGACGTTTTTATCATTTCAGAGAAGAGTGGGCGCGGAAACCTGCTCCGGGCGAGGAAAAACGTCTTGCATTGCGATGGAAAGTGCGCGAGTATATGTTGAGACAGAATTTACCTGAGTGAGTGACGAATAGTTTCGGATTCTTTTTATGTCCAAGCAAAACATGAAAACAAATGATAGCAAATTGCCAAGTGGACGCTTTTTTTTCTAGCAAAAACGCGTTCGCAACCAGCCAGTTTTGTTGGTTTGTGCTCACTTTAGGCTCCTATGCCGAGCATGTTTCAGGCTTATGCGCTCAGTATGGTACTAGTAAGTATTGTCTATTTGATGTTTTCCAGGTTTGATCCAAGGAAGCCTAGACGTCCATACGTGATTCACCCTAAGGACTGGTCTCCACGGCCATATCTCGACTAACATATAAAATTACTTCAAACAGGGGTTATAGCTCGCGCTCTCAGCGATCGCTGGTTCGATACATATTTAGTCATAAGGAATGCGGGCCATGCAGTCCTTCTTTCACGATGTAATCGTGTGATTTATCGTGCATGGTTATACAAAGTATCCCAAAGTACAGACTCACTCCACTTGTCATCGATATTTCTTGAACAAGTGGTTAATTCCTATCCAAATTCCCACCAGCCATACCATTGGGGACCAATGTTGATATATTATGATTAGGTTTGGAAATAAAAGACGAATAACTTTTTTTTGAAAAAGTGGTGTCCTAAAAGTGTGGGTCACTTGGGCATTCGGATTTCCTTGAAGATGTACTCACGATCAGTAAAATCAATTAAGTAAATTTACTTAATATCCTGCGACATTCCTTCTTCTTCCGGTGGTCTCAGTCATCCGCACAATGGGGAAAATGACTTAACACACGGTGAATAGAGTTTTCGACTCATTAGTGGTCAGTTTCTTGCGTAGCCGTTATGTACTTTCCGTAGGGTTATGGATTCGACCGCTTAGCTCTTGGAACTCCCCCGATATTCTGATCATAAGACTTCATACTATGACAGAAGCTTTCGATTACGTTGAACTATTGACCCTATTTTGAATGATGCAGTCACTTACTCTTTATTTACGCTTTTTTTTACAACTAGTTACATTCCGTCTGGCATGGCACTGCAGAACATGCAATACTAACAAGTCATCATTACAACATATTTTTATAGTAAGAAAATCATCAATATCAGGAGGAGAACAAAGTGAACGAGATTACAGGTCTTCTCAAATTTTATAATGAAAGCGGCTTATCGGACTGGAAATAAGGATAAAGTGGTCAGTGGAGCAGGGATGAATGAAAACATGAGAAACGGTCCAGAACCCGAGAAAGGGAGTCCCTTCTTGCCCGTTGATTTCCGCATTGATGCGACTCTCATCGTTGTGCCCTCTTCAACGCTAATGCTCTCTGCTATCTAATATCTCTTGCTATCTAATCACTCGCCGCGTATAGACCTGCGGCGAGTGATTAGATAGTCGGTGGGCGTTCCGGGCCAATTGCGCCAAAGGGAAGGCCATGCTAGATCGCCGGGGGCATATCCTTCGATGCGAATTGCGTGTTGGTCCGCACCCTTAGGGGTCCGCCTGTCTCCCCACTAGGTAAGTTTCCCTTCTTTCGACCTTCGTTCTTATCGTGGTATCCTCTTCGAGTGCTTTTTGGCGATATCGAAGAAAAATGGGGTGAATCTACTCTTCTGGGACGCACGGTACACGTAACAATCAGGCGGTCGCGTGATTGCTGGGAATGCGAGCTATGATCTCGTATTTACGGATGAATGGCTCACGTGTATTTATGGCTGCTCATGGTATTACCTTTATTTTCATTGAAGGAATGTGTTCTGAAATGTTCTTTCGTGTTATTTCACTGGTTAACCAACTAATGATCTTCAGAATTAAGCGAATTATGTGATGAAAGGATAGGAATAAATGCTTCAATTTATTTTCAAATGTGCTAAGAGCGAGTTGAATCTTCGTAAGAACTACTGCTCGATATCCGTTGTGCTTATTCTGCATGCCTTGCTGTCGTCTGATGGCTTTTTCTATTCAGTGGGTAGAAATGTCCCGGTTCTTGATTCGTCAACAAGAGAAGTTTGTGCAAGCTCTTGGAAGGCACAATATACCAGGATTACGATGGTTACTTGATGGTTTTAATTAGTGAGTTGTTCTTTATTCTGCCCTTTCTGTCCCGAGTAAGTAGTATTGAATAATAATAAATTATTGAAGTCTGAACAATAATTAGCGTTGTTTTGGGTTGTCCAGAAAATTCTGCAACGCTTTGAACAAATAACTTTATGGAGAAATCAAAACCTTTTCAGTTGTTCTGGCATTTGGTTACTGTAGCGAGTCTCCGCAGGTTCCAACAGAAGCGTACATGACAAGCAACGTCTTTCCAACCCTCTGAAATTTTGTCATATTTTATTTTTTGAGCTCTTGCGAAACCTCTCTTCTTTCATGCGTTGCGGCTGGCATTTGTGCTGTATTCAGGAGGTAACTCGTTCAGCAGGTCATATTGTTCCGTTGTCGCTAAGGCTCCGCATCCGAAGATGTACTTGATATACTATATATACTTGACTCAAAGTAAAGCAGTGCTATGGTTGGCTGTAGATGGTGATTGAGAGATGCTCAACTTCCCAGAGGCGCAGCCGATTGCTACCAGTCGTGAGTTAGCAACAACGCTGAGGTGCACTAACTGACAGTTATCGAGGATCCCTACGTTCTTGGTTACAGGGCAGCATGTTCGCAATGGGTACCACATGGGTTGCGCCAGTCTGGGGAGGCGAAGTGTGTGACCATGGTAGAGATTTCTCTTCTTTCTTCGCAACAAAGGAATCTCTTGACAAAAATGAAGATTATGGAAGATAGCTCAAGCTTTGAGGAAACTGTACACATAAGCTCTATTGGATTCTACTGACGATGAGAGTAAGCTGCCTGCAGAACCTTCGTGAAGAAGGGTTTTTAGTGTTTTGATGAGGTTGCAATTTGATTCTTCACAGAAAGCTGCTGGATACCTGCACCGCGGTGATGACCATTGTCGGCTCTAACTACCTCTGAAATTTGGCCGAAGCCATGCGTAAAGTTCACCCAGAAATGCACAACATTGTGTTACCCACGCCCACGCATATCTACATGTGAAAACGGATTACTTGCCAAAACGATCATGGATTTTGATTGAGAAATTTCGCAGTACTTGGCTTACTCGACGTGTTCAGCCGCTTCTAATTATCAGGTAATTAGTCCCTTGAAGCGTCATCTAGAAGATTAAAAATTCGATGACTGAGGTCAACTCGAAAATGGGATCGATCGCTTCTTTTTGAAGCAAACGCCGGAATTCTAAAGTAAGAGAGTTGAGAAGCTGCCCGGAAAAGTGTACGTCTCCTATATGGTAATGGTGATAACCTTGCTGATTGAATATTTCATTCAACAAAAGAAGGTGCAATCAAAAATCTTGGGTAAGTGTCGCAGGATTTTCTGGACAACCCAATATTATGGTGCACTTGAAAGATCTTAGTGTCGTTGCTATTCAGTTCTAGCCGCATTGAATTGAACTCACCATCTCACGAATTTCGATTTTTTCGATCACTTTGAATTTCCAAGTAAATGTTATGTTTCGAGTTACGATATTTCACGAGTGAAAGAGGTTGGTCCTGACCGTGCTGCAGCAGAGTGGATCGTTCGGTGTGGAGGCGCCGTGAAGTTAGTTTTGCTTTTTAGTGTTGAATATTTCAATCCACTTAAGCAGTTCACTTTTAGATTCGACAAAATTGCCGACACTTTTGATGACTATAATGCACTGATCAAGAGAACCGCCGAGCTTGATCCTAGATTACCACAGGACGACGTGAAAGTGACACATATTCTTGCTGTGGATGCTTCAGTTACCGGGTATGGCTGTCTTCATTTCGGTCAGTTCACTTGATCTACTGCCTTCTTTTGATGATTAGGTACCGAAAAGGACCCGTGTTTATTTCTTGGAGGTTTTTATAGGCATGCTCTGTGCCACAGAATATGCATCAAGAATAGCCGATATGTGCACAAGGTCACAGCGCGACTTTATGTGCTTTCAGTTCGAATTCCGACGCTGGTTAGGGTGATTCGGGTTCGTATTCTTGCAGCGAAGTGTTCGCCATGCGACTCTTCGCCAAACCAACTCCGGAAATAGTCTGGCAAAGTCTGCCGCGCCTGCTCTGCAGTGGGCGTTGGATGTACATATAAAACCAGAAAAGGGGGCAAAACAAAACGAACTAGGAAGTCACTTCTCTGGTGGATCCTTGGAGCCTTCTTCATACAAAATTTTTGAAAACTTCATCGCTTCGGAGATTCTGCGATTTGATCCGATTCGACGATTAGGAGATTCGGCGACTCTTCAATCTACCGCATGGTGTGTGAACGCGATCCGATAATTTAAAAGTTCAAATATTTGCTTATCGGTTTAGGTGGAAAAAATGCTGCCTTACTCGCGTTACAAATACATAGTTTCGTTGTGAGAATACGAAGCAGTCGGTTATTATTTAATCGCTTCTATTAGGTCGGTCCATAAGTCTTGCAACAAACTACATTTAATGCTATAGAATTTTAGGGAGAACTCCTGAAAATCCGCAACATATTTCCTGACGTAGCATCAACCTTTGCAATTTCAGCCAACGGTCCAGCTCGTTGTCTGCTTACTTATTATGGATATTACACCGATTTCGCGAGAGGGCTCTCGATGCCCTTAATTTTTACGAGTACTGCTTGGAATGTTCCGCAAGTCATGCTAGACCAAGGATTGGCCAGAAGATAGGCGAGATGGGGCAGCTCTTTCCTTATTATCTCTCAAACCACAGTGCAACGGCGCTTCACTCTGCTCAGCGTTGAATTTTTTTATTTGAAAATAACCCAGCACTCCAACCACCCTGTGACTGACAATCACGATGCTATATCTGACGGCGTTGAAAAGGGATCTGGATAGAGTATCGATCATTTGCTAGAGCGATTCCGATGCGACAAGGAGACAGCACTGTGGCATCTCCAAAGACTTGTGAAGATCCGAAAATGTAGAGTTTGGTCCCCACGTGCCTTGAGCCCGATTCAGCTCCAAACACGATCTGACACCGTTATGTTCAAGTCGACTTACTAGGGATTCTACGATTGACCATCCATCACATTTGCCGAAGATGAGGAGTGGGGTACAGTTTAACACGTTGACGACAACGCGCGTTTTGGGTTTTTGCGCCGCGTGGGACCACGGCGATTTTGCAGGCGCCGCCGCCTCACATCAAATCCGTGAATTTTGAGCTTTAAATACCCAAAACTCGGATGCAACAAAATGTTTAGATATATTCGATCGTGTAAACTGTATCAGAATTTGCAAAATGCTGTGGAGAAATCGATGTTAACTGAGCGTCTTATTCTTGGCGATTTAAAAGGCCGAAATGTTTCAGTTGCTTTTTGCTGCTGTGCAGTGAACCTCAAAATTATTTTTGGCGCGGTTGCTCCACTAAAAACATATGTCTTGCTATATGTGTGGGTCTGTACTTACTTCTACTGCTCTTTTTTATGACCAAGATTATCAGAATATAAAGGAAACTAGGAATGAACACAATTGGGAAATTCGTAGGGCTTAGAAAACCTTCGCTAAAAAGGAGCATATTCAACCATTCAATGAACCTCGCCGTGTCTAGTCATATTATGGTGTAGTCTATAGAATAGATGCAAAAAATTAGAAAAGAAGTAGCGCATGCGCGAAAAAATAATATTTTGTGTGTGCAGCGCATGCGCTGCACACGGTCCCACACGGTGCTCAAGGTGTGATGCGCATGCGCTGCACAATGTCGTCAACGTGTTAATAATACAAATGAAACGCAAGGCGGTTTAGCCCAGCTTCAAACGCCTTGCTTGGGAACGCTCTCTTATTGCTTAAGTTCAACCTCGTCCAAGTAGGGCCTTCTCGGATTTTTGGTGGAACACGGGAGGAGTTAAGCTCTGGAAACCCCTCCGTGTAGATGTCGCAGTCAACGCGAAAGTCAACTATCCACAGCTCGAATGCAACGCTTTTAATACGAAAGAAAAACAAGGCAAAGTTTGCTTTTGTATGACACCGTTCGAACACTCTTTCTTGCTAAGAAAATTCAGGAAAATTTCGAGACTCTGGGACGGAGAGTTCTTCCGTATTCACGTTATAGCCCTGACCTCGAGGCAAATAATGCCCTTCTGCTCCCCTCTCCAAACCATCTCCTAGAGAAGAAAGCTCATCCTAACTATGATGATGTCAAAATCGACATCTGATCTTTCTTCGATCAGAATTCAGTAGAGTCCTACAAGGGAGGCATCGAGCAGCTACTAGTGTGTTGGCAATAGGTTGTAGATATTGATGGAGGGTAGCATGCCGGATGAATGGAACAAAAAGATAATGAAAATATTAAATTCAAAATTCGGCCAGTTTGTTGCAAGACTTATGGACCGACCTAATAAATTTTTGATGCAACATGAGTGATTGCCAAGTAACACGTAAACGGAGGACAATTGGCAGAATTTTGCGAGGCCCAAAGAATTTTTGCCGAAAGCATACTTGGCTCAGAAGCTTGTTTTTCATACCTATCTTAGAGTACTGTTCATAGGATAAATATAAGAAATTGGAGAGAAGGAGCGCATGCATGCGCAAAAATGGGCCTCTCGCGCTCCACCACAATTTGACCCTCATCCTTGCCACCGCAATCTTCTCCTGGAAATCTTCCATCCCTTACAGTCACAACTATATACGCACCAAAAGGACCACCACCCATCTGAATTTCCCAAATGCGACCTCGTTGGTTTCCAATAGACGGCTGTTCCTGCCCGATGACCAGTCGAATAAATTGATGTATCAATCAAGCACACTTGTTGAAATTTGTCAAGAAATTTTGGCACAGTTACTCGTCTGTTGGCTTTCGAAATCACAGGTGGCCGTGTGCAGATAGTGTGAGTTTTGCTACATTATTTATCACAGTCACTTGGATTCAGAAATACACAAAAATAGTTTCAGAGAAAAGATTGATGGGAATAGCTCTTCTAAAAACGTGGTGAAGAAATGATCAAAAAAGGGGCGAAAAAGAGTTAGGCCGAAAGGCCTCTTCGTTTATGTGCGGTAGCAACAGAGTTGACATCGGACAAATTTATTCGTCACGTAGTCACTCTAGGTTCCGTCTCTTAACGCTCTTTTGACGGCATGCTCGACGCTGACTTTACAGATAGAGTCACCACAATTACAGTTAAAGCGTTGCGCCTTCATCACCTGGAATGAGAAGATGTAGCAAGTCTAGTGCTTCTCCTTTTCGAACGCGAAGTTTGGGTATATGTAGAAGGCAGCCCATCAGAATCAAGGTAGAGTGCTCAATGGTGCCGGGATGAAAAAGGAGTCATGGGAAGCGGCCCAGAACACACGAAATGATACCCCTCCGTTGCCCGCTGATTTCCGCATCGATGCCACTATGGTCGGTGCTCTTCAACGCTACCGGTCTCCCTGCTAAACGGCTAGAGCCAGACGGTGAGCCGTTAGTCATACGGTTGGCGTGCCGCGTCAATAGCGGCACGGGAACAGCCATGCTAGATCGCAGGGGCATATCCTTCACTGCGAACTGCGTGTCGGTCCGCACCTCCAGGCACTTTTCACTGTAATCCTTCCCTTCTGCGACCTTATGCCTTATCGTGGAATACTCTTTTAGAGTGTGTGGTAAGTCTGATTGTTAAAGTCAGTGTTCATGCGTAAAGTTCACCTCTTCTCTTAGTAAGGTAGTTGGAAGTTCCACGGTAAAGCGTTCCTACAAAGCACCTTACAAGCCCTTGTCTTCTTTGTCTCCACCTTCAAGAAATCGTAGCTAATGCGCTCTTATAGCTGCACATCACCCGACTTAATGACCCCAACAGACGATGCACTTTGAGTGGCCTTGATCATCTGATTCACAATTTTGACTTGTTTTGTTTCTTTGTTAACTGCTGTTTTTGGCCGCAGTTCGCCTTGCGAATGTTTCACAAGAATGCTGGGTTGTGAACAAAACTTTCGCCCCAGGCGGGACTCGAACCCGCACCTCTCGCTTTCCGGGCAAGTGCGCTACCAGTTACGCTACCGGGGCACCATTTCATTCCAACTCAGCTTTTCATGGTATACTTACCATAGCTTGCCAGCACTGTATACGTGTCAACACGTTGTACGTGTGAGTGCTGCAAGCTAGGGTAAATATGCCGCGGTAGCGTAACTTGTAAAGCACTTGCCCGGTAGGCGAAGGTGTGGGTTGGAGTGTCGTCTGGGGCGAAACTTTTGCGTACAACCCAGCATTTTTGTGAGACTAATCCACAATCTTTTTCATAATTTTTTGATTGTTGATACATGTTTTAGAAGGATTGAATGCAATCAAGAAAGTGCAATTCATTCGATGCGATAACCTGCACGACTTTGGGCTAGAATACATGGCGAAAGCTGTCGGGACTCACCTGGAGACTCTCGAGATCGATGGATGTCGGCGAATAACTGAATTCGGATTGGCTCATTTGGAAATGTGCAGGTGAAGGAAACTGCTGAAGGGGCCTACATGGAGTCCTTACGTGCAATTCCATTTCACCACTCAGACCGCCCTTGAAAGAAAAAGTAATTTCCATGAACTGAACTACCTAGCATACCCTCTTCTAGGTACACCAGTAAGTCGGTGTAACCGGAAATGGTTACCTGCTTTTGCTAGTGATCGTGACATGAAGCACTGTAGGTTGAGACCCGCAGCTCTCTATATATGAATACATAGCGCTCAAAAATTGCTCAACTGAAGAAAAACCGGCACTGGGCAGTTCCCGTGATAAACGTGTTCTGTGGCATTTTTATTGCCAATAAAATGTCGCTATTTCTTCCATATTGAGGCCTTTCCGACTGCAGCGTCGCAAACTCCAAGATAAGTCTTATCCGCGGTGGGACTCTAGCCTGTGAGGGGCGCGGTGCCGTGGTCGCTCTTTGTTTGCAGTTCCCACTGGTAAATTCATATCCCTGCCTCGAAATTCTCGGTACCATTAGGTATTGCTCGGCTTATAAGCTAGATGTTATTGAAAACAGACGAATAATCTTGATCTGAAAGAGATGGAAAGAGCTTAGGTAGGGGAGGCTGCAAGTGTAACACATGGGAGATAGTCCAAAAAAGTGGTATGGGTGAGATGCAGGCCGCTTTTTACCAACCAATTCATGGCACACCACTTCGTTTCCACTTCTAGCGGCATTTGTTGCCTGCCTTGTGAACATTGTTTTGAGCCTCCAGCAACAAAGCACCTCTTTCTATTCGGTTGCTGACTCCTACTAGAACAATTTTCCTATTTGCCTTGTAGCTCACAGTATCTTCTCTAATTCTTCGCTTTGGAAAGTATTCTTGAATTTAAATTCTACTGTTATAATGAGTATTTTTAGGGCCTTGAAGTCTCTGCTGTTGTCAAACCTCAAAGCTGTTCATGGAAAAGATAAGGTACTTGGAAGGCTAAAATCGGCACTTCCAAATACCGACATTCGTCACTCTTCCTTTTGATTGGATATTATTGATTTGATTACTTACTTATTCAACTACCTCAACACCTTGTGTAAATGTAAATACATAGGTGTGCTGCAACTGCATCCACCGCGAACAGCGTAAAAGCATAGCTCGTTTCCGCTCACTCAATAAAATTACGCTACCTGGCCTGCCAGCGTAACCCTTTGGCGACAATGCGCTCTCAAAAAAGGCGTGGTCCCACGAGCCCGTTGCGTGCAAATCAGCATTGTCGTTAAAGGGTTAATGAGATGGAAGCGACCGGCTCGACACTGTTTGTCCAACTCGAAGTCGAGGATTTCTTGAGCATAAGTGCCTCTATTGATCTTGTCAACTTTGGGAGCTACTCTGCTAATAGATTAAGCCCTTATTTCCCTGACACTTACCTTGACATGTTTCTGTCAGGTCTTTCTTATCGCTTACTTGCTGTGTAAATTTGTTGCATGTAATAAACTAAGAGTACTCATGTTCATTAATACATTGTTAAGAATGAGATGGCTGCACTCAAGGCAAGCAGTTGAATGAGCGCCCATTTTGTGCCTTTTCTTAGAGCAACAATTCGAGATCGGATTCGCGGGGTAAAAACGGTCGATAATGAAGTTATAGATGGCGAGTTGACTGCTAATAGGAAAAAAGCGAAGAAAAACGCCGGCGAAGCCTTCAAACAGGGCTTCCCCTCTTCCCCTTGAAATGGAGGAGGGGCGGTTCCGCGAGTTGACTGAATTGGCTTGCATTTCTGCTGGCTCGTGCCAGCGGCTACAATCGCATTTGCCCCTAATACTAACAGAGACATGCATCAGTATAAACAAAAAGATACAATAATCAAATGAGTTAATCAAGTTAATCCAACCCGAAACGCGGGATAGTTAGAGCAATCGCGTAAGGACCCGCATTCAGGCACGTGCTCTCCACGACTGCAAGTGGGCGTTGCAACCGAGGCCCGGTCGCCCCGCCTCCTTCGAGACCCTTCTAGCGATTTTCCAAGGTGAGTTTTTAGTTCAGTGACACTTCTTATGTTCTTGACTAGGGCTAGCGCATCTTTTCATCCCATTAGAATCGAATGGTGAAAACCCTGCTGGGACTGTTGCTTTGAGGCGTTTGATTGGCAGGGTTTCCGAGTTGCGCAGGTGAGGTAAGAGCAAGTCAATGTCGGTGATCCTGGACGTTCGGGAAACGAGGTATGTAAAATTAAGGTAAATGTATTTCGGGTTCCGTATAAACGCACCCTGAACGTTCTTCGTTTGAGATATTTTAGTTGATGAATTGGACTAAATAGGAACCGTGGCGTGCGTTTTGTCTCTTTCAGAATTTTCACAAATCTCTCCTCTCTAGAGGAGGCTTGATCAAGGTGATATCGGTCGAGGAAATCCTCTACAGGGGGGGTCGTATCTGTCACACGTGGCAATAGGGTCGTAAGGTATGGAGCTCACTAACGAGCACATCATTGGCATCAGGTGCGGATAGGAGGGGGGTGGGTTTAGGGAGCCACATTTTCACACGCTCTGCTAACAATAAGTCACCTCCTCTACTCCCGCCCACTCACTCGCCCGCAATACCTCACTAAGAATTTCGCTGTTTTTTTAGGGACGCTATCGCAAGAAACGACAACAGTGAAGGGAATGCCCTGTGAAAATGAAGCTTATCCTTGTTATAGGTGTTACGAAATTTATTCCATACAACACAGTCTCCATCAACAGATCATCATCCATAACACCTTTCAATTGATTTTGCAAGTATGAGTGGAGGTCGGACGCATGGCCCATACAGAGATGAATTCGGACTGTTACGATTGTCTCTTCCTTTGCGAATTACCTTGAAAAATGTATTTTAGACACATTCCCAGAATTGCCAACGAGATTAACTTGCAATGAGTGAAGAAGGGAGCGACTTCCTGAGTGGCCAAAAATCGTCTTCGGTAGATCCTCGTCGCAAATATTTCCTAAACTAGAATGTTTAGAAAAAAAGCTGGACTTTTTGGCAGCGCAAACCTTTTGCTTCTCAAAACGACTGGCTCGACGCAGTTCCGATGAGACAACTATCGCTCCTAAGGTGAAGGCTTTCTCTCGTAAAATTTGATGGGTAAATGTATTTACGTGGTTCCGTTAAGTAAACGCTTCACCCGAACCGTTCTTCATTGAAGTTTGGGAATATTTTTAGTCTGGATGCGCAACGGAATAATATATAGGAACCGTGGCGTGTGTCTCTTTCAGAATTTTCACAAATCTCTCCTCTCTAGAGGAGGCTTGATCAAGGTGATATCGGTCGAGGAAATCCTCTACAGGGGGGGGGGTCGTATCTGTCACACGTGGCAATAGGGGTCATAACGTATGGAGCTCAGTAACGAGCACATCATTGGCATCAGGTGCGGATAGGAGGGGGGTGGGTTTAGGGAGCCACATTTTCACACGCTCTGCTAACAATAAGTCACCTCCTCTACTCCCGCCGCCACTCTCACTCGCCCGCAATACCTCACTAAGAATTTCGCTGTTTTTAGGGACGCTATCGCAAGAAACGACAACAGTGAAGGGAATGCCCTGTGAAAATGAAGCTTATCCTTGTTATAGGTGTTACGAAATTTATTCCATACAACACAGTCTCCATCAACAGATCATCATCCCATAACACCTTTCAATTGATTTTGCAAGTATGAGTGGAGGTCGGACGCATGGCTCATACAGAGATGAATTCGGACTGTTACGATTGTCTCTTCCTTTGTGAATTACCTTGGAAAAATGTATTTTAGACACATTTCCAGAATTGCCAACGAGTTAACTTGCAATGGTGAAGAAGGCGCGACTTATGAATGCCAAAAATCGTCTTCGTAGAGTCCCGGCTCCGCAAATATTTCCTAACTAGAATGTTTAGAAAAAAGCTGGACTTTTTGGCAGCGCAAACCTTTTGCTTTTCAAAACGACTGGCTCGACGCAGTTCGAGAGACACTATCGCTCCAAGTGTGAGGCTTCCCATAGCAATTTCAACACTGCTTGGTAACAAGAATAGCTCTATCTGGTTCTATGACAACCTGCTCAGAAATTATGAAATGGAGGAATGGTAGCATTTCAAAGAGGGTGTCGATTTCCATGGCTTGCGGCGGCGTGCGAGCTAGTCTGACCCAGGCGCAAGTCATGAGTAGGACCTATATCTGTAAATGATTTCATGCTTTGCATCTAGTGTCTTTTTGTGCCGAGTACAAAACAGTGTATTGGGTTGAGTTAGTTTCTTCTGTATGTAGATAAGTCTACGCTCCAATGGCCTGGAAGGTGAGTGGCCGCCAGGAAGCCGCCACGCTTCTTCACCTGCGCAGATTCGCTGAAGGAGTGTCATGGTTTGAGTCGCTCCCCTGGTTAGTAAGGGTTGGATAGTGTAAACACATCTCGCAAACTTCAGGGCTTACCAATGCGTCCTCTAAGCCGGCATAGTGACATACAGAAAAAGATTCTCATTCGTGAAGTCGTAAAACATCAGTACGTATCAGTTGTGCCTTACAAATGATTTCAGTGTGAGAATGGCTCAAGAAACACATTCTGAGATTTCGCAGAGCATGTTCAGGCTTACGCTTAATATGACTGTAATCTTGATTTCAAAAGAAGTTTCAACTAGGAGATTTCAAACGCTACACATCTGCTTGCTACAGCGAGTTTAGGCTTCCCTTCCTAATCGGTAACCAGGGGCCTTCATTCGAGCTCTCGTAGACTGGCTATTTAAGATTGCAGTGTAATAACCGTGCCGGAGCTTACCATTAGCGTATACCAATGAATCCTCGATGGAGTTTGTGTTGAATCTCTCTCGTCTCATTTGGATCGGTCCGCATTGATTATGAGTTTTAAGGGTGCCAGCTAATAGATCGTACGAGTCTCTTACCTGAGGTGGTGAGATGGAGTGACGGCTGACGACCGGCTACCAGGTGACAGGTGGCTATCGGGTACCGGCTGCTTCAAGTACCGCAGTCGATGCGTGGCACCGCAAGTGATCTGTAGAGGTCATCGAAGACACGACGAGGTGGTGGTGTGTGAGGGGAATCTTTGATTGCCTTATAATGCAGTCAACGCTCATTTGTATGTGCCTTCGATCTACTCGATCTCCTTTGTGAATTCTGCGTTTTCAAACGGTTCATTTTACAGAAGAATTCATTTGTATGCCGATAGGAACATGCAAGGACACCGTCGCAGAGAGTCAATTTCCTTTTCGTTTGAGCGACGGCACTCTCATGGAGGCCACTTTTGCTGCACTCATCAGGAGTTCTAGTGAATCGGGTGTCCCCTGGGTGGTCCGAATGCGAGCATATCGAGTCAGGATCAAAGCTTGGTGGCCCATTCAACTCCTTTTCCACAGTTTTGCAGTGCAGTTCGATACAGGTGTGTGGAGCCGGATAATTGCTGAAATATTCGCCCGGGCAACCGCATTAGCACTCGTCGGGACGTCTGTGTCCGAGAAATGACCAACCGCTGTGGGTGAAACGGGGGGCGATGATTCAGCGCTGCCCTACTGTACGATCAATGAAGCCAGGCAGGCCCCTCCATCCATCGGACGACGCTCGCGACGTCGATACCTCGTCGCCGCTGATGTCTTCCTCCTCCTTCGACAACTCGCTGATGATCTACATGAAGGTAATTGCCAACCGTTACGCTAACGTCTGTTCTTACGCAGTTATCAGTGTCGGTTTCAAACGAAGATTGGCCTAAATGGTTAGGGGGAATCCGGTTTTTTTCCTTGGTGCACCCATTTTGCTAATGAAAGTATGATTGCTGCTAAATCCTTTTGCCCTCTCTCTGGATCGGATTGGATCCAATTTCCTTTTGGACGAAATGTCATGCCATAAAAAACGTCACTCAGGAGCAATCGATAAGCGGAACGTTTTGGCAGTGAAGGTCGATCCTCCGGGGGATGGCTAAACGGTAACGACGGTGGCTAGCACTTTGGTCACTTGCCACTGCAATGAAAGGCCCCCTAACGTCTGCAATTGTGGCTAGGCATGGCGTGACATAATTTTTCAAATCATTCGCCTTTGTGTGACCCGCGCTGACACGACCTGAGACCTTTCTTAGCGTTCTGTAGACAGCCGTCTTTTCCTCCTGCTGGTATGTCTCAGCTCATGCTTCCTCTACTGCCGTATCTCCGCTGCACAGACTTGGACCTGTAGACACACAGCCTTAATTACTCTCAGCGCGGAGGGGTGTTGCTGTCACATAGTTGTGCGTTCGTAAAGCGAAAAACGAGTATTACGCGTCTTTGAACAACAGAGATGTGGCAAAACAACACAATTGTTAGTCGTTCATTAAGGACCTTTCCCTTTTGATTTTGCCGCCTTTGTCCTCAATTCAGCCCCGGCACACCTATTTTCCTCCTTTTTCTTTTCTGCACAGTTGCATTTGTTTCAAAATTCTCAACAGAACCTCTTCCATTTTTCATGGCCAGTTCCTCGCTCCCACGAGTCCGTTCTTCGATCTTCGTGCCCCCCCCCCCGCTGTCGCTGCTTTTCGCAGGATGCAACGAGACACTACGTTGCAAAACTCCATCAGCTGGCACATTTCGCACATAAATAGGTTGTTTGTAGAACGAAGTTGGCGTGGCGATCCCAATATATGTGAAAACAAGCGACAAGGTGGAGAGGATTTATATGGAGGCAGCGAACGCACCAGCAATCAACCGTGGTTCACTACGTGGGAAAGCCTTCTACCACAACGGTACGAATTCCGTGATTATTCAACGATATTCAAAGAGTGCAACACGTGAATATTATGGAACTTCAGGGCGACGTCTCAGTCCACATGATCTCATTGGCGACGTTGGAATAGCGTTCTATGACACCGTGCGATTAAAGGTGAGACTTTGGGTGGGAAATTTTGCCGTTGGGTTTTCCTTCGGAATTTTGGAGCTTACCACGAAAGTCTTTCAGGGAGCCGCTTTTGGAAAACGGTTTTTGCATGATAAAGGGGCACATGCATGGAGTACAAAACTAGGCTCCATTTTTTCTGAGCGGCCCTGTGAATGCCAAAAAAGGTATGAAAAATCGGTCGAGGGATCGGTCCCGGCTGATGACAAAATTTTGCATTTCATGTTAGCGCATGTTAAATGACTCCAAATGTTACCGCCGATAAAAATAGGTACTGTTCTTACAATCAGGGTCATCATCAACCTTTCTGATTAGCTTTCTGCCCAGAATTGGGGCGAAAATTGTATGGCGCTAAAGCGGCGCCGAGTTGGTGCCCGAGGAGGCTAAAATGGCGCAATATCGCGCCTCCATCAAAAATGGACGTCAGATTCGTAATCAGCGCCTATAATTACCCTTATAGCCGCAGTTTTAGAGAAGATCAAGATTTCGGCCCGAATTCAAAAATTGGGCCATGGGTAAGCCCATAGTCAGTACGGCATGCACGCTTCCCACTTGGAGACAGCTTCGAGATGATAGCAAGCGGCACGTTTGGTTGATAGTTACACTTCCACCGCAGTTCCTGCCCATGGGACGCAGGAGGCACCACCCCTTGATCTCGTCGATGCATGGCGTAGCCTGGTTGGGCACTGGCATACGTCGACGAGCATCCTGGGC